CTTGCAGTGAGGCTCATCCTCCTGCCAGGAGTGGCTCGCACACTGCAAGCTCCGGAGCGATAGGAAGGGGGGGCAGAGCCCACAGCAACAGGGCAAGGTCAATGGATGGTCCGGCCTCAGGGGCTGGACCCTCGTTATGTCCACCTGCACGGGGGTATTTGAATATGAATATCTACCCACTACACCTACCCTCCTTTGACCTTGCAATGAGGCTCATCCTCCTGCCAGGAGTGGCTCGCACACTGCAAGCTCCGGAGCGATAGGAAGGGAGCGCAGAGCCCACAGCAACAGGGCAAGGTCAATGGATGGTCCGGCCTCAGGGGCTGGACCCTCGTTATGTCCACCTGCACGGGGGTATTTGAATATGAATATCTACCCACTACACCTACCCTTTTGAAGTGAACCAGTTAGAGATCTGTTGATATCAACTGGTATACAAATATTAGAGTAAATGAATAAATAAAATTGTAACATACATGCAGAAAAAGAAACAGCATAGATTATGCCCTTTCATATATCCAAGATAAATAGCTTGGAAGAGTGAAGTTTAAAATAGCAGTTTGCCTTCAAGCCATGAAAGCACATTTACTAAAGAAAATTACTTCACAGTAATTTTAAGGACTTAAATAGTTTTAAGGAAAGAACTCTTTGGTTTAAAGAGCTAATGGTTGAAGTTATATGCTCCAAAGCAAGGAAATTAAGACCACAGGTCAACCACCCTGCCAAAACATGGGCACACTGAAGCACCTTTCTTGCATATCAACTTCTCCTGTTTTGGTTCCATGGGGTCCAAGACTATGGGGCCCCACAGGGGTCAAACAGGTCCCAAGTGCTATTCAACATATATATGAAGCTGTTGGGGTAGGTCATCCAGAGATTTGAGGTTTGCTATCATCAGTATGCTGATAACACACAGCTGTTTCTCCGTCACATCATCTGCAGTGGGTGCCGTCTGGCCTCAGTAACAGACTGGATGAGGACTAACCAGTTGAAATTAAATCCTGACAAGATATTCTATTGTTGGGAAGGTCACCAGATAGGTTAGGTAGCAACCTGCCTGGTCTGGATGTGGTTACACTTCCCCTGGAACATGAGGTTCGTAATTCGGGTATGATCCTGGACCTGTCTCTCTCTATGAAGAAGCCCACCAGCCATGGCCAGGTCTGCCTTTCTCCAACTGTGACAGATTGTCTAGTTACACCCCTACCTGCATAGGAAGTCTCTGACAACACTACTCCATGCATTGGTAATCTCAAAAAATGATTACTGCAAGGCTCTCTATGTGGGCTTGCCCTTGGAGATGATACAGACACTTCAGCAGGTCCAGAACACAGTGGTCTGCCTAGTTTCTGGGGCTTCCAAATTTGATCACATCTCCCCAATCCTGGCCCACATGCATTGGCGCCTTGCCAAATTCAAGGTGTTGGTGCTAACACCCAAAGCCCTAAATAGTTAGGGACCTCAATACCTTTGGAGTATCTCTCCCAAAGAACTACTTCCCACGTCACACATACCTCACAGGCCTTGTTGCTTCGGGTGCCTATACCAAAGGATCCCCTGAATATATCAACTAGAGACTGAGCCTTCTTGGTAGTGGCCCCATTTGTGTGGAAATCATTTCCATCGGAGGCCCGCCAGGACCCTTCCCTCTAGACCTTTTGTAAGCTAGTTAAGATAAGTTTTTAAAAGAAGCCTTTAGTGGCATCCTTCCCCTTAATTAGTTTTCTGCTGACCCTTAGGTTCCATCATCTACTTCAGCTGTCACCACCTATTGTTGCTGGTCTTATTATTTTGTCATTGTTTTTAAATCATTTTATAGTTTATGGCTGGTGAGTGGCTGTATTGTAACATTGCTTAAAACTGCCCAGAACGTTGACTGTCTCTGGATGGGCAGTACAGAAATTCAATAAAAATAATAATAAATATTTCATATAAACACAACAGAGGAAGTCCAGTTTTTGATTCCATGAATCCTATGCTATGTCAGGAAAGAGCAGCCTCACAGAGGCTGTAATACAGATTCCCAGCAACCTGAGGCTACCAGCCCCCAATTTTGTTTTTAAATTTTGCTCAGAAAATCCATTCGCATCTCCTAATTTGCTATTTGTTTAAATATTTTTACCCTGCCTTTCTCCTTAAAAATACCCAAGGCAGCTTACATAATGGAAAGACAATATTTAAAGCTGAAAACAATGAGTGTACAATGGTGGTTTACATCATTAAAAGGCAATATTTCAAGTTAAGAACAATGAGTATAAAAAGGCAGCTTATGCAATTAAAAGACAATATTAAAGCTAAAAACAGTAAGTATACAAATATTTAAAAAGAACAAATACCACTGAGAAATGGTAAAGACAAGTAGTACTAAAAACCCAGTCAAATAAGTAATGCCTAGCAATCTGTCCACAACCGAGGATGAGATGGCTGGACAGTGTCTGCGAAGCTACCAACATGAATTTGACACAACTTCAGGAGGCAGTGGAAGATAGGAGGGCCTGGCGTGCTCTGGTCCATGGGGTCATGAAGAGTCGGACACGACTAAACGACTAAATGACGACAAGCAATCTGTCTAAAATCAGGTGGGATGATGTGTGAGATCTGTTTGCCATGCCTGAAAGGGCCTTAGCAACCTCATGAGTCATGACTCCCTACATGCAAAAAAACCAAAACAAAACCACACTCTGTGTTTTTAAATGGCCACTAGAGGACATGAACGGGCTTTTCCAGTTAGTCTTTTCTTTCTCACATATATGGGCTTTGGAATTGTGTGGCCCTCCAAGTTCAGCCCTTGAACATCGGAAAGTTGTCCACCCCTTGATGAAGTCCATAGATCCACAGAATAACCATTCCCCAAAATACAGATCAGTTGGACTGAACTAAGCCTATGAATAGGAGTGCCCTGCCAATACGCTGTTTGTAAATGTTGACACAACCAGATCTTTCACACCACTAACAAGACGCTATACAGTGAGTGGGGTGGTGGGTGGGATGAGGCTATAATGTTTATTTGTGGCCAAAATACAGGTACTGTATATGGATGACACACAATTATGCCCAGGCAGAAGAGGAAACTTGAACTGTGATCTGGTTTTCCTTGCTTTTTTGATGCCTTACTGATTCAAACCAAAGAGCCCCCACTTTTTCCTCATTTTGAGACTTTTCCTGCTGTTTGAAACACAGGAGCACAGAAGCATCCATGTTTGAAAAGTACGTTTGTGCTTCTATGCCCAAGCCCCCCCCCCTTTTACAGCCACCGTACAAATTTTAAAAAGTGAGAAGTCAACAACAACATAATGGAAGGAGGAGCAAATCAGCACAAGGAGTATTTATTAATTTATTATTGGATTTTTATCCCGCCCTTCCAGACAGGAGTCTACTCAGGGGGGCTCACAATATATTATGTATTTAACAACAATTAAAATCTACAATAATACTATAATCAAGATGGGATAAACAGCAAGACCAAGAAAAGTAAAAGTCAAGTATTGGCAGGAGGGAAGGCTTGCCTAAAGAGCCAAGTTTTTAATTGGCTCTTGAAAACACCCAATGATGGTGCCAGGCAAATCTCTGGCAGCCAGCTGTTCCATAGTCGAGGGGCCACCGTCGAGAAGGCCCAGTTTCTTGTTCTTTCTTTCTTGGCCTTTCTCGGCATCAGGCCCCTCAGCCATCTTTCCTGGCTATGGCAAGTGACTCGAGTAGATCTAGGTGGGAGAAGGTGTTCTGCCATGTATGGAGGTCCTAAACTGTTTAGGGCTTTGTATGTCATCATTGACACTTTGAAGTCAACGCGGAAACGAATGGGCAGCCAATGCAGAGCAGCCAGAATGGGAGAGATATGCAGGAATTTTCTTGCTCCATTAAGTAATCTGGCTGCCGCATTCTGCACCATTTGAAGTTTCCGCACCAGTCTCAAAGGTAGCCCCACATAGAGCGCATGGACCAGAGTGGTGAGGGACCCGCCATCAAGATAGGGATGCAGCTGGGCAATCAGCCAGATGGTAATTGGTGGAGCACACCACTGATGCCACCTGGGTTTCCATGGTGAGTGCCGGGTCAACATGTACTGCCAAGCTGCGAACCTCACTCTTCGCGGAGAGAGTCGCTCCCCCCCAAAAAGAGAGGGAGTTTCCCAAGCCGCCAATGGAGGGGCCACCCACCCTCAGGACCTCTGTCTTGGCCGGGTTCAGCCTCAACCCATTCCCCTGCATCTATTGCAGTGCAGCCTCCAGACAATGCTGAACGGACAGAACGGCATCCACTGAAGTAGGTGAAAAGGAGATGTAGAGCTGCGTGTCATCAGCATACTGATGGCACGAAACTCCACACACCCTGATGGCCCCACCCAACGGCCTCATATAGATGTTAACCAGCATTGGGGAGATGATTGACCCCTGTGGAACCCCACAATTGAGGCTCCATGGGGCCGAGTACCAGCTGGCAACCATTATTGTTAGGGAGGTCAGCAGGACCAAAGATCAGAATGAGATCTGGTTTTGCTACAGAGGTTAAAAACAACAAAAAGGTGGTTTTACCTTTGCTCAGAGCAAGAGAAGATGAAGGAAGGGGTTGTTCTCCCATGTGGAAAGGATGGAGACATGTTAATGGGTGACAGGGAGGAGGCGTGAAAAAACAACTCTTTTGCTTCTGTGTTATTCCACAAGGATAAGTGTGGTTATCACAGCACACACAGAATAAAGGAGACAGTGAGAAGACCACAGCCCAAGACAGGTAAAGAGTTGGCATGAAAACATCAAGGCTATTTTGAAGGTACTCAAGTGTCCAAAGCCAGAGGATTAAGCCAGAGGGTGAAGGAACTGACAGAGGCAATCTTAGAGCTTCTGCCTTTGAGAGTTCTTCAAGGACTGAAGACAGAAGGTATGTGAATATTGTCTCCATCTTTGAAGGCAGGCGGAGAGCCAGGCAACTCCTAACCCACACCACCTGCTTTTGCCAACTCCAAATGGAAAGGCTTTCCAGGGTTTCAGGAAGGGTTTTTTTCCTGGCCCTACTGAGTGGTCTCCCATCCAGTGCTGATCAGATTTGATCCTCCTTAGCTTCTGAAATGAAACAAGGACATGTTCAGGGCTGGTGTGGGATAAAGAACTCATTTTCAGTACCATTGTCATAAGCCAAAGGAGGAATTAATTTTATTTGAAATATTTTTATTCTACCTTTAGTCATAAAAAGGACCCAAGGTGGCTCATATCATTTAAAAAACAATATTCAGAAGCTAAAACAGTAAGTATACAAATATTATTAATTAATTAATTTAATTACATTTTTATCTTGCCCATCTAGTGCCAAAGCCACTACTCTAGGCAGTTTAAAATGTCATAATGTAAAAATATAATAAAACAACAATAATAATCTAATAAAACATCAGGCAAAAAACCAAATCTCTAAATGTAAAATAACTAATACAGAAATACAAAGATAAAATTACAGAAAAAATATAGATACATTCTTTCAGGCATGAATGTTGATGTATCAGAGAAAGTGGCAATTTTCTTGAAACTGATTATCCAGAAAAGATTGCTACCTGAATCTAGTCCACTGGGTCTTATTTGATCCTTGGTCTTACATTTGCTTACGGAGCTTCTACTGTATACCTTAACTTGCTGGATTTTATTTATCCATTTACTATTTTATTTTAGTATGCCAATAAAAGTATTATGATGATACAAAGATACAATATACAGTAGATGATGGCAAAACAGAGACAGTTATTCCAGAGTAAACGGAATATAAACTATCACAAGCAAAATTAGCTCAGTGTAAGACTATGGAAAGCCTGTGTAAACAGCCATGTTTTCAGTTATTTTCTAAAGTCAAGGAGGATGGGGGCCTGTTGCATCTCTGTCAGGAGAGAGCCCTATACCCATGCGGCCACCACAGAGAATCCCAGTCGTTGATTTCTATGCCTCCTCCAGAGTAGCTACTCATAACATCCTGAAATATGAGGGGCAGGTGGGGCAGGCGTTTCCCTCAGTCGTTCTGAGAGACAGGCACTCAGATGAAAAAGAATCAAACAAATACTACACTAAAAATGGGGGGCGGGGAATCAACATCCAAAACAGATTCAAAGCAACAAGGCACAACTCCCTATTTAAAAGCCCTGGCACATAGCCAGGCACTAAGGCAAAGCCTATCTGAAGAGAAAGGTCTTTGCCTGCTGGGGAAGGGCAGCAGGGATGGAGCCGGTTTAGCCTCCTAAGAAAGGTCTTTGCCTGCTGGGGAAGCGCAGCAGGGATGGAGCCGGTTTAGCCTCCTGTGGGAGGGAGTTCCAAAGGCTATGCGCAGCAACAGAGAGGCCCCTCCTGAACTCCGAGGGTTACTGACTGACCTTGGGCCAACAGGCCACTGGCACTCAGCCCTAGCCGAAGGAAGGGCTCCGACACCTCCCCTCCCACGCTGCTTTTCGACCACAGGTGGTAATGGATGCCCCGCCAAGATAAAAGCGAAGGTTGACACGATCAGATGCTCTTCTAAAAGCCCATCTCACAGAGCGTGAAGAAATTACTCATTGACTACAACTCCCATAATCCCCCGGAAAGCATAGAGTCTTGTAGCTCCAAACAAACATGTGCCCATTTGCTCCTCGCCCTCCCCTTGGGCGGAGAAAAAAAAAGGACAAATCCGGGGAAACGGGGCACGTTGTTCACGCTCGGGGTTCTCAGATTTCTCAGCTCCACCCCCCTCCGGCGAGAAGGCTGAAAAGCGCCTCCGTCCGTGCGAGGAAGATTGGCCTCGCTGCCCTGCCGTACTCGGAGCCTTAGCAGCGTGAGAGTTGGAAAGCGAGCCTTCCTCGGCCGCTGGTGCGGTTCTTGCAGCCTGTGGATTGGAACTTCCACGCTCGCGGGATTCGAAAACGTCATAATGGCTCAGAACGTTCAGAACGTTACTCTCTCTCTCACGCTGCCCATCACTTGCCACATTTGCCTGGGAAAGGTAAAGCCACCTGCGTTCGTGATGTAATGCCAAAGGGAATGGGGGGGAGAGTTTAATCCGCCCGGCACCCACGCCACTCCCTTTAAAATGTGCACGGAGCGCAGGAAATCTATGCTCTTAAAAGGCAGGAGAGCGACCCGAATTCCCGGGATAATTCCACCTCCTCAGCCTGTGACATGTGGCCGACGATTATTCAGTCCTAGTCCTGTCTCTTTAAAAAATCCGCTGTTCTCTCAACGCTCATGCCCGTGGTCGCTTTTAAAGATGGGAGGAGAAAGGGAGGCCCTAGCTAGGCGCGGTAGCGTTTGGTGATCGTAGCGGAGCTCCATTTTCCGGAAGATTTACAGTATTTCGGTTTTTCCGGCTGCTTGAGTTTTTTGCGTTCTTCTCCCGAATATAAAATATTGCTCTTGTTTTATAAAAAGTGACAAAAACTATTAGAAGATTGTGTTGGAGGCAAGGGTTTGTGGCGGGGAGGGGACGCAGCCCTTCCTCCTTTCCTCTTCCTTGTATTGTTCCTTTTTGAAGTGATTAAAGATTAATGTCGATGATTTCGATTAGTGTCGTCCCTGCCCCTTTTTTGTTTTTAGAGATAGTAATAAGATTTGGGGAATTTTGAGATGTGTGCCAGTTCCAAGGAAGGCCAAATAATTTGGAGCCCGGATCAAGGAAGATAGACTTAAATTCTGCTAGGAGTTCCTGTGCTTTTCACTTGCCTTTGCATCTCTTCCTGCATTGCTGATGCACATTTGATTTTTTGGTTTTCTCATGGTTTTAGGTTCACTGAATTTAGAATTATTTTGTGTTCAGTAAATTATTTTGTGTTCACCTAGAGTGGTCCTATGTGATTCAGATAGGCGGGATATAAATTAAATAAATAATAAAATAATAAATAAGTACTTCCAAATGCAGGGACGTGGTGGCGCTGTGGATTAAACCGCAGAAGCCTCTGTGCTGCAAGGTCAGAAGACCAGCAGTTGCAAGATCGAATCCACGCGATAATAATGTAGATTTTAAACCACCTGTAAAGCTAATCCTAATCTCTAATGATTTTTGGTTTAATTTGTAGGACCTGGTTTTAATTTCATGGGGGGGGAATCTGCAAAAGGCAATAGGGTGCTCTGGTTTCTGTACAACAAAGCAAACAAATTTTCTTAAATACAAAACTCATTGCTTCAATGCTTCAGAGTTAATAAATGATTTTGCAATATTGAATTAACTCTCCTAACTTATTGCCAGGATCTTTGCATCAGCCAGTCCTTTGAAAATGTAGGATCACTGTCAATAATACAACCATCATTTCCTGCTTTCCATTTTACTCTGATCCCACTTATGCAATGTTGTATATTGTACCTACATACCTAAGGCTCCGGTATTCTACTCCATATATGTCAGGAAGCAGGTTACAATCTGTGAAAGCTCATTCTCAAATAAATTAGTTTTAAAGGTTACGCAAGACTTGGGTTTTTTCTTACTTATTCTTCCTGTTATTTTAAACTTTTTTTTAATGTATTGATTTATTTAATTTCCTGCCCTTGCCCATCTTACGAAGCCATGGGGAAACTTTGTTTCCTCTGAATAGTTGTGCGGTACTATTTTTCTGTAGACTCTGACATATGTACTGTCATATGAGTGTAGTGTTCGGGAAAAGATCTTATCCTCCTGCTTCAGAAATTAGTGGTGGTAGCAGTTCTCATGATGACAAAACTCCACCAGCTAGTTCCATGTTCACTGAAATTGGATACTAAAGCATGCTGCTTGGTAGCAAACTTTTGGGGTATTCTCTCGGATTGCAGTGAGGATTGGCCATTTTCTACATGTAGCACTTCCACAGCAAGACAACTATGTTTTGTTTATCAGTTACTGTATGTTTATCCCCACTCTTCCTTACCATAAGCTTGAGATGGTGTGCATGGTTCTCCCTCATGTATCTAAGAAGCTGATTCCCCCCACACATTGGTACTTATTCCCATTCCAATAGAGTCAGGTAGAAACCATGGGCAGGCCTATGAATGGTTAGATTTAGGGAGCTGCATCAGGTAGCAAGATGCTGAGTATGAGGAGTGGCAAATGGTTAATTATTTGATTTGTTGTACTTGTAGTTTTATGTTCAGGAAGGGAAGATATGTTTTTGAAATTTTCTGTCTCCAGTGGTACTTGACGGCTTTTGACTACTGTGTACCATAGACTTGTGGCAGGGAGGCAATATATGCCCCAGGCAGCAACATGTACAGTACTAGACTCTGTTAGTAGCCCTATCCTTGCTTGAGATCTATACCTAGCATGTTTTTGGAATGGAAATAGCACTGGAAAGGTTCTTAGGTTTGTGTCATGAAAAATATATTCTGGTGCGTTTCCCATGGTGTTACTTAATTGCTTCACTTTAGTTTGTTGGCGAAACACATGATTTCTTTAGCTTGGAGCCCTGCAGAAACAGCTTCCTCATTAAATGCTGTGGGTGCATATTGCTAGTGTGAATAAAACACAAAGGATATCCCCCCCCACACACATACAGTTTTCAAAGCAACCTCATTCCAGTCCTGGCCAAAGAGGAGACATTATGTTCTAGATTCTAACAGCCCTCCCAATGCTTCTGGAGTTTCAGGAAGACAGGAAAGCGATTAGACCCTCTCCCCACCTCTCTTCTCTTTTAACTTACTCTGTATGTACTAAAAGGCCTTGGCAGTACACCTTTTTCTTGTTCTCTTCCCCAATTACAGCTTCTTTTCAGTCGAAAAAGGCCACCGCCTAGAGTGGCCTTTTAAGCCAGATGGGCGGGGTATAAATCAAATAAATAAATAAATAAATATGTTCTGTTGCTGTTTGTAGAACAGTTCCCCATGAACATGAGAGTACCTGTGCTGGATACAAGTCACAAGGGCAACATTACTCACTGCATGACATGCTCAAAATATTTTTGGAATACCACATTAATTCTGATGATAGTCATCATGCTGCTGATAGCCATTTTGTCAAAAGGTGGTTTGATTTCCATTTTGACTATTAGAATTTGGCTTTGGCTATTGTGTGATTAGTTTTTGGATGACTAAATTGCTATTTGGTGATTGGGTTGGCTAGTGCAATAAAAAAGCCAGGGTAAGCCCCCACCACCACCAATTTACCCATTGCTCTATATTAGGAGAAGGTGTGAAGAACAGGGAGGAGAAGGGTCTCTGTTTCATCATCAGGAGACCTTTGCTGGGAAACCATTGTTGGGTAGACTAAGCAAGATGGACAAAGTGTCAGGTCTGGTCTGGGACAGGTTTCTTGTTCCATTCTTCCGGTTGGTACTCTCTCCATATAATGCGAGGATAGAGACTGTTGCATTGCACCTACCCACCCACCCCAATTCTGAATCACTTTGTTTCATTGTACTGCCAAGCCTGGCCTTGCCACTAGGAAAAGTAGGGCTACTGCCTTGGGCAGCAGTTGCCAGAGCAGGCTCCTGGCTATGTCTCTGGAACTCCTCATCTGTTTCCTTTTGCTGGAGTACAGAACAGTGTCATCTAGCCCAGAGGAGCTGTCTGGGAGCCTCTGAACTTGTCTCCTCTCTCAGGTAGTGTGGTTAGTGCTCTCTCATTGCTACTGCCGCTGCTAGTTCCACTTGCTTCTGAATCTGGACTGGGGTAGTGGTGGGTGTATCCTCTTTTCCTTTGCTTCAGGCAGCAGAATGTCTTAAGCTGGCCAGCAGTTTGCAAGTGCCGCGTTTTTCTTTAGCAGAGCAAAAACCCATGTTTGGAAAAAACTATGTTTCTTGGCGGAACTTGCCGTATAGTTTCAGTAGCATATACTCTCTGTGGAAAATGAAGCTGGGTTGCCCTTCATCATTTATTTATCCTGTCTATGAGGCCACTGAGGAAAATATCACCCTTACCAACCATCTCCTTCATGTTTTCATACACATCACCATTGGACACAAGGTGTCGTGTGGGAGCTGCTTTTCTGTGACTTGATCCCATTTGGGTACTAGCAAGAGCCTTGTGACTGAGTCAACCACACAGAACGTTTCTTGGAATCTAGGGTCTTGCACCCCATCAGAAAAAGTGTAATGCTAGGTATAGAAAAAGTATGTCTGGCAGTTGAATACATTTTATGTTATATCTACTTAAAGACTGAATGGTTTCAGCTAGTAGTTCTCCAGATATGAATTATCTTTGCCTAAAATCCGTAATTACTGTATATTAGTATTTATTTTATTTTTTTTAAAAAACAACAGTTTCCCTCTTTTCTTGCATGCATCTTTCCGGCCTTGATTCTCAATACTGTAAGATGCTAGGAATTGAATTTGATCTGTTTTCAGAGCCAGAGTGGTATAGTGGGTAGAATCTTGAACTGTGACTCAGGATTCAAATCCCTGGTTGATCATCAAAACTCATTGGAGGTGGTGGTAGCGTTGATAAGACCCTCAGCATAATATCTCACATACCTTGTGTCAACTCTGTGAGGGCCACTGTAAGTCAGATGCAAGTTGACTGGAAATAAGAATAATACAATGCATCTGATAAGTCAGGTGTATCTTGGCAACACTTCGCACATGCACATTCTCTTTCCCCTCCTTATTTCACTTCACATGACCACTCTCGGTATCCGATGTCTCAGCAAGGCTCAGCTTTCCATAGGAGCTAGACTCCTGCAGGCTCTTCTGGTGCTGTTTAGAAAGTTGATTTGTTCTCTTAGTTTACAAATGAATATATTTCTCCACATCCAGGGGTTCTCCATGTATCTAGAAAAAGTTGTCTTCTTTTTGAGCTTGACATTGGTTTCTGTCTTGGCAAGCATTAGGCTTTCCAGTTTGGCATTAGAGAAAGAACGAATGGGACCTTCCATACAACACTGTGCATCATGAGAGCAGTAGTTTTGTTCAGTGTTGCAGCCAACCTACACCATAACCCTGTTGTCTCTTTGAAGTCCTAAGGTTATGAGGGTTCAGAATTTGAAAGGACACTTCCAGCTCCCAGGGCTTTCGTCTGTTGTGCTACAAGGTCTGAAGAGGAAGTTAT